GCAGTAGGACACCCACCAGCAGCTCACCCCATGGGTGCTGCATCACCTCCGTCCCAGGGACACTCCGGGTTTGCCCTCCAGCGGCATGGGGACAGAGAGCACGCAGGCACATTTGCCTTATACAATAAAAGAATCGCCAAAAGTCTCCGGCTCTGTCTTTCTTTGATAAAAAGGCAGCCAGAGAATTGCCCTCTCCCATGAGCCCCAGCGCTCAGCCTATGAGATAATATAGGCTGGCCTTTTCTTTGCAGCTGTATTGTTTTAGAGCTTGCAAAATAGCAGCAGGCTGAGCAATGAGTCATCTGTCACTAGATGGGGTTAAAGTAATTTCCGTTTTCTGTTGCCATGGGGAAATCAACTCCTAAGATTTGTCCTTTCTCCCACTCAAACATGTGGGAGTAGAAAGCCTGAAACCCAGCAGGGCTAAACAGTTTTTTTATTTTTTTTATATATTTTTTTTCCCCCTTATAAACAAACTTCCCTCCGTGGCCTTGCAGCTGTCAGTCTGTTCCCGGAATCGTCCGGTTAACAATGTCATTCCCCTTGGATTGCAAAAAATCCAGAAGCAGAGTTTAAGTAAATATTTGACATTCATATAGGAGTTGCTTCATGTTATCACTTATAAAAGTCTGTTGCTTGTAAAGTTTTATGTGTACATTCAAGGGGGTTATAAACTTGACATTATACAAATAAAATTGAAACTTCAAAAAAAAGTAAATTAAAGTAGCAGCTCACCCAGCAGTCACAATCTAGTGAGTAACAGAAACAGGAAAGAGGAAATTGCAGTAAATACTGTTTAAAAGCCTCACTAATGTATAGCTTATATGAGTAGCAGCATAGCAACATCTAGTGTTGATCAGGGATATAGCTGAAAGTTATCATCGTACTTCATTAATGGCAGTTGGATGAAATCTGCAGGCAGGGAACTGGCTTTTCCCAGACCACCAAACCACTCCCCAGCCACAACCTCAGCTCCTTCTCCCATGTGTTTCATAACATGCCATTTTTTTCATGCTCTGTGTCACTGCCTTCGTTAGCTTTGCAGAAGTGCAGTCATCTGGTAGTGCTCTCAGTCTGTCTAGGTCGTTATGAAAATTATTGCGGTTTTATTTAAGAGCCGACTCAATAGATCTACAGGTTTAAATGCGATTCAGTGCAACGGTGGCCAAAACTGTTAGCATCTGAACTGAAATTAAGAAGCAATGCCTACCTGACAGCTGATCATGTTACCAACTGTGTCATAAAACCCAGGACCAATTAAGCATTGCTGTCGAATGTGTAGAGTGCTCAGAATTACTCTTTTCCCTAGAAATGAGCATGCAAGTGTAAGGTTGCAATGCTGAGGTGGTATGTCAGAGAAGGCTGTGTTTTCACTCTCCTGTATCAGCCCGTGAATGCAGGGAGTACTGTATTATGCATGGTTTAAGACCGCCTATAGAAAAATTGATTGAGGTGCATTTTGAATCTATCACCATATCCAGGTAAACACTTCTTTTCCTTTAAAAGACACCTGATGCTCGAAGTTCCTTGCTACTTAGCTCCTTTGTAGGTATACATGATGGATTAACATTAGTTTAGTTTTGATTATTTAACTAAACTAATTAGTTAAATTTAGTTAAGTTTAACGAAACTAATCAAGTTTAACTTAACATTAGTTTGCTTTTTTAGTTTAGGTTGAATTCTTTTTAATGGCTTTGTTAAAACTCTCAACAGTTTTTTTCATTTAAGCAAGCCCTTATATCAGGACTCACTGAAGACTATTTAAATAAAATAATTTGTCTCCTTAGACTACAGCTCCTATTATATGGGGTTTGCTTCATCTTCAGTAAAATAACATCCTCTGGGTTTTCTCAAACAGAACAAAATTCATGAATGGCCGCTTTCCAAATCCAGCTGTCTTGCAACACCCTGTGAACAGATTTTTTGCCACGTTTAAGTTTATTACATTCTCTAATTAGCATGACTGTGTAGGTGCGTGGAATGCACTGGGGGAGAGGAAAAACACAAGTGTACAAAATGCTGTTATATAATTTGCTATGGGGACACGCTTATTAAAGACAGAGACCTGGATCACTCTCCGGATACTTTTCAGCAGG